GACCACTCTGATTCTCAGCCTTCATTCTGAACTTCTTGAATTCATCAAACACCTCATGTTTAAATTTAATAAGGGATACCCATGTCATTCTTGTGAATTCATCAACAAATAACACAAAGTACTTATTCCCTCCAATTGATGCTACTGGAAATGGAACACACACATCAGAATGTACAACTCCTAAGGCATGTTTTGCTCTTGGAGCAACTTCTGACGCAAATGGCAAACGTGGTTGTTTTCCTTCTATGCAAACTTTGCATGACTTCTCAGGCTTCTTAATTGCAGGAATTCCATGTACCAGCTTCTTTGAATTCAGATGTTTTAGGCTTCTGAAATTCAAATGACCAAATCTTCTGTGCCACAGCTCACTCTCCTTCTCAGCACATGTTGCACTAAGACATTCTGAGTCTGCAGTTCTGACATTCACCTTGAATGTTCTATTCCTTCCCTGTTCTGACTCCATAATCAACTTCTGATTGTAGTCATACAGCTTCAGAAGATTGTCCTTCATGGTAACTGAAAAACCTTTCTCAATTAATTGTCCCACACTCATCAGATTGCTTCTGATGTCAGGTACATACCACACGTTCTGAATCAATGCTGTTTTCCCATTGTTCAGAATCACTCTGACATTTCCCATACCTTCTGCATTAAGATTTTTGTCATCAGCACATCTGATCTTTGTTCTCTTTTCAGAGTCAAAGTCAACCAGCCATTTCTTGTTTCCAGTAAGATGATTTGAACAGCCAGTGTCCATATACCACCAGTCTATCAGATCCATATTATCAGATTCAAAAGCCATCAATAGCACAGATTCGTCATCAGAACTTCTGGCTATATTTGTTTCTTCTGATTTTCTCTCCTTGTTTGACCAACAATCTCTAGCAAAGTGACCAAACTTTTTACAACAGTAACATTGGATCTTCTTCTTATCATACTTCTCTTTTCCCTTCTGAGCATTCTTTTGTCTATCAGAGGTTGAGCTTTCTGACTTCTGACCACCATTAGATCTTCTCTTGGCTTCTGACTGCTTCTGATACCTCCTATCAGAAGTTGCTTTCAGAGCCTGCTGCTCTACTTCCCTTTTAGAAGTTCTCTCAGTCAAACGCAACTCTTGCGCTTCTAAACTGCTCTGCAGCTCTTCAATTCTCATGGTACTCAGATCTTTGGAATGTTCTATTGCTACCACAATGTAATCAAATTGAGAGGTAAGGGATCTCAATACCTTCTCCATGATTGTTTCTTCAGAAAGAGTTTCTCCATACGCCTTCATCTCATTAGTGATCAGAATCACTCTGGAGATGTATTCAGAAACTTTCTCATTATTCTTCATGTTGAGGTTCTCATATTGCTTTCTCAAGGACTGAAGCTTCACCTTCTTCACTGATGCGTCACCATCATAACATCTAACCAGTGTGTCCCACGCAGCCTTTGCTGCCGTTGAATCTGCAATCTTCTCAAACACATTTACATCAACACATTGATGAATAAAGAATAATGCTTTCTGATCCTTCTTCCTTACTTCCTTCTGCGCGTTTTTCTGTTCATCCGTTGCATCTGCTGCTACCGGAACATAACCATCAATGACAAGATCTAAAACATCTTGAGCACCAAACAGTACACGCATTTGGATCATCCAACGATTCCAGTTTTTACCGTCAAATACTGGAAGCTTGGTGTTCATGTTGCCGTTTCCGTTCATCTTCATCTTGCACAATACACTCAGATTTCTCACACAGTGTTTCCCAACCCACAGAATAAAATTCTGATCAGATTTTGTTCAAGATTCAAAACGAATCTAAGAATCAAAATCAAACACACAAGATCTCACGTTCACTCGTGTTTCCCGTGTTTCCCAATGAATCTGAACCGGAGCTCTAGATACCAATTGTTGGTGTAAAGGTGAATAAATGATGAACAAAGGAAAATATTCTATTAAGAATGACGGCTACAAACATGATTAAAGTTACAATGATTGTCACCCTATTTATAAGCTAAAACTAGGGTTACTAGAATAAGATAAAATACTAAAATACCCTCTAACAAACTTAGGGGCTAAGAAAATAGTACAACTAAATAAATATGAATTACTATTAATATTCTATTGTGTTGAGGGTTATAAGGAGCAGTAACCTCATGCTCAATTCCATTCTCCTCACAGAACTTCTGGAACTCTTTGGAGTTATACTCACCTCCACCATCAGTTCTAAGAATCTTCAACTTCTGACCACTCTGATTCTCAGCCTTCATTCTGAACCCATAAGTACAGAAGAGGCTCTTAAGCAGAATCTTTGGCTAAAGGCCATGAAAGAAGAACTTGATGCTATAGAGAGAAACAAGACTTGGAAGCTGACAGAACTTCCAAAAGACAAGAAAGCCATCAGCGTCAGATGGGTTTTCAAGCAGAAGTTAAAGCCAGATGGCTCAATTGGCAAACATAAAGCAAGGTTGGTAGCCAGAGGATTTCTACAAAAACCTGGGCTGGATTACTCTGAAGTGTTTGCACCTGTAGCAAGACATGAAACAATCAGAATGGTGATTGCAATAGCTGCTAACAGGAATTGGCCTCTGATGCATTTAGATGTAAAATCTGCATTTCTGAACGGTCCATTAGAAGAAGAAGTTTACGTGTCACAACCTCCTGGATTTGTGAAAAAGAATCAGGAAGGGATGGTGTACAGATTATACAAAGCTCTATATGGATTGAAACAAGCGCCCAGAGCTTGGAATCAGAAGATTGATTCATTTTTCAAGAAGCAAGGCTTTCAGAAATGTGAGATGGAGTACGGTATCTATGTTCAGCATACTTCTGAAGGCAATATGACTCTGGTATGTTTATATGTTGATGATATACTGCTGACTGGAAGTTCTGAACAGGAGATAGCCAAGTTCAAGAAGGTTCTAATGAATGAATTTGAAATGACTGATCTAGGCAAAATGACATACTTTCTAGGGATGGAGTTCAGATATTCTGAGAAAGGTATCATTTTGCATCAGCTCAAGTATGAATTAGAACTTCTGAAGAGATTTGATCTGAAGAATTGTAAGATGGTTGTCACACCTTCTGATACAAATCAGAAACTGGATTCAGACTCTGAAGGAAAGGATGTGGACGCTACAACCTTCAAACAGTTGGTTGGTTCTCTGAGGTATCTGTGCAATACCAGACCTGATATCTGCTACTCAGTTGGGATGGTTAGTAGGTTCATGAGTAAACCTAAGTGGTCCCATTACCAAGCTGCTGTCAGGATTCTGAGGTATATCAAAGGAACTCTGAAGTATGAAGTGTTATTTCCCTCTGGAGGAAATAATGAGTCAGAACTTCTGAGTTATTCAGACTCTGATTGGTGTGGAGACAGAGTTGACAGAAGAAGTACATCTGGGTACTTGTTCAAATTTCTGGGAGGTTCCATTTCTTGGTGTTCCAAGAAGCAACCTGTTGTGGCGTTGTCAACCTGTGAAGCTGAATACATTGCAGGTGTTGTTACTGCATGCCAAGCTGTGTGGATTCTGAATCTGTTGCAGGATCTGAAGATTAAAGTAGACAAACCTCTGAAGTTGATGATTGACAACAAGTCTGCAATCAATCTTGTCAGAAACCCAATGCTGCATGGGAGAAGCAAGCATATTGAGACCAAGTATCATTTTCTGAGACATCAAGTTCAGAGTGGAGTGTTAGAAGTTGTACACTGCAGCACTCAGAAGCAGTTGACAGATGTTCTGACGAAAGCTATCAAGACTGATCAATTTCTCAGATTAAGGGATGGAATTGGTGTTACAAGTTTTGATGGAATATAAATTAAGGGATGATATTAGTAATAATTCATATTTTATTATATGTAATTCACGTCATAACAACATTATTTTGTTATGTAAATTTCACTTCGCAATATCATGAGACTGACAAAGATTTTTCTTATTGTTTGTTGTTGTTTTTGTCTTTGTCTGATTGCATTTTGTTGTGGGTTAAGCATCCGGCTTCTTTAGTTCAATTGCTTGTAAAAAAAATTATAATCATAAAATTCTATAAGTAAAAGTTAAATTATTTTACATACTCAATTTAAATACTTTTTTACTTGTCAACTATGACAACTATTTATGGACATAGTTTACGACAAAGTTCAAATATTTTTAAAGATTTTAAGGTTGTGATTGACATGGTGTAATTTTTTTATATTTTTTACGGTGTATACAACTAAATTTTAGAAATAAGAGTTTAATTATTCTATATATTCAGTGGAATGATGGATATTTGGAATCATTTTGTATTGATCAATATAATATAATTCCTCATTTAGATATTTTGTATGGAGAATCCATGATATTTTTAGAACCTTTGTATGATATTTATTTAGACTTTGATTTAATTTGAATGTTAAATTATTTTTTTTTTAAAATGTTAGAAGTCATATAAAGGGTAAAGTCACAAGGTAAAACTTTAGTAGGGATATTGCCTGGTTGGATTGATGTTTATGCTGTTTTAATTCTAATTATCAAAAAGGTAAAATTTAATAATACTAATATTAGTTGTATAAAAAAAATCAAGTTGTTGCAATTCATTTCATTTTCGGTATAAAAAAAAAATCATAATAACATTTAAGATAAGAACCATATTTGTTTTGTATTTTAAATTACTTTCTCATCACAATGCAATGTATTCAGATTTTTTCCATTGATTTAGATAAAACTTTTAAAGTTAAAATTTTACTGAAAACAAATCAATACTATTTTTATGATAAATTTAATTTTAAAAAATACATATCTATAAAGACATAATGTTTTTTCTTATTTGTGTAAAAGTTTACTAAATAATGATTAGAAATTTAAGTGGCAAAAGTTTACTAAAAATGAATGGATAAGTTTAGGTCCATTTGATAAAGCAATGAAGGAATTTCTAGTATAAATAAGAACAGTTGTTGTTCTATTTTCATTCATTCTCTTTTGATCTTGCAAACTTGTAATACATCTAATTTCTTTTCTCATTCTAAAACTTTTTTAAAATGTTGAAGTTATTGGCATCATTCGTTCTCATCTTGTATACTACTTTTGTTGCGACTCACTCCCAAGTTGTTCAACCAAATGTTCCGAAAAGAATACATAACACTTGTTTAGAGACTTCACATTATGATGAATGTTTGAAATACCTAACTGATGATCCAAAAAGCTCCACCGCAGATGTGCATGGTTTAGCATTGATCATGGTTAATGTAATGAAGAGCAAAGCAAATGTTGGTGTAGAGAAAATCAATCAACTTATTGGAAGTAGTTCTCCCGATCAAAATGTGGCACTTAAATCATGTGCAGATAAATACAATGCAATTATTGCGGTCAATATTCCACAAGCAACCGAAAGTTTGCAAAAGAAAAGCTCTAAATTGGCTATGGATAGTGCACTTAATGCTTCAGATGTGGTATCTGATTGTGAGGATGGATTCTCTGGAAAATCACCACTCACAACTGAAAATCTTGTTATGGATAGAGTATCCGCCATAACAGCGCAGATTTGTAGACAGTTGGTTTTAGGTGGGCAGTAGGTTTTAGGTGGTTAATCAAAATGTTTCAACAAGTAATTGATCATTTAATAAATAAAAGTTATATTTTATGCTCATCTTTTTTTTTTTTACATGACAGTAATATTTACAACTTAATTTCTACGCTTCTATATAATATGTTAAATCTAAAGTGACACGGTATATTACAATAGATGTTAACAATTCTATTTTATTTGTGCCACGTTATTTCATAGTCTTATGTGACATCTTCAAAATCTTATTTTCAGTTTTCAAATAGAAAAATAAAATATTTATTCTCTATTGAAAATCACGAGTTCGAACATTAGGGAAGACAGATTTTTTTTTCTTCATTTTTAACAAAAATAATCTAACAAGACCATCACTATTTCAACTATCTTTATTCTTCTAAATTTCAAATTAAATAGACATGTAACGGTAGGCGTATAATAAATATATGGAAGTATGGGATAAAATTTTCTAATATTTATTATAGGGGTATGGGATAAAAATAATTGTAGGGGTATGGGGTAAAATTTCCTAAATATACTGAGAATAATGTTTAAAAAAAACACTCATATTTCAATTGATATAAAAAAAAATTAGATAATTTTACAAAAATTAAAATAATTATTTAAAAAACAATTAAGCTACTATAGAAACTAGCATTTTCAACCATTTATTCATTAGATAACTAAAATTTGACAAAAATAGATATCAATTTTATAAAGTTAATAAAGTTTTATTTGATAATATTTAAAAAAAACTTTTAATTTTATTTAACATTGAAAATACAAACCTTTAACAATTTAAAATTAAATATACAAATCAAAGATAATTACTAAAAAGACATGAGAATCAAAATAAAACAAAAATTACTTTAAAATTATTTAAATTTGCAAAACTAATTACGAATATCATTTTCAATTTACAAGCATGAATTTTTCTTTCAACTAAAATACATCTTTTTATATAAATTCATATCATTGTCTTAATTATAATTCAAAAAAAAATTATTGTAACATAAATTTAGTAATCATGTTTTTCAAAATAATTGCTTAACATTTTTAAAATTCAATAAAAAAAAACGAATAAACTAATTTACAACCTGTTGCACGGGTTTTAATTTAGTTTCTATTTTAAATGAAAAACAAGAATGTCCTTTTTATATTATTTTTTTGTCAAATAATTTAAAGTTTATCTTTTAAAGATGAACAAATTTGCGAATTTAAATCCACACTCTTGCATTTGATACCTTTGAAGTACACAGTTGTGCTACCTTAACGAGACCATATTTATATTAATTTAGTGAAAACTTATTTTGTTTACAATTTCATCCTTAACTGTTTTTTATAAATAAATATATTCCACAAAAAAATGTTAGGCATACTCCATTCCAACTAGTCATAGTAGTTTGAATTTTTTTTATAGTAACTTTGAATTGGTTACTTTTTACCTTAAAAAAATCAAAGATTCAAAATATTGAGGGAAGCAAATTCGTCAGCTACATTGGCGAGTGTGTGTTGAGGTAAACAAATTCGTCAGCTACATTGACGACTGTGTGTTGAGGGAAACAAATTCGTCAGCTGCATTGGCGACTTAGTTTTAGGTTTAAGATTTCGTTTTCATTCTTTTTTTAATTTAATAAATACCTTAACTATTATAATAAATTATTTGAAACATTTTATATTTTAATAAATTATATTTTATATTTTAATACCTTAACTATTATATTTTAATAAATTATTTAAAGATTATGTTTGTGCAAAATATTTTAACGGTAATTGTTATTAAATTTATAAACATTATAATAAATATTTTAATTTGGTTTTAATAAATATTTGGTAAAAAAATTATTTTAATTAGGTGTTAAATAATATTAAGAAAATATTAAAATATAGAAATGTTAAAGAATAAAATATAGAAATAATAAAATATATTAATTTACAATCTAATGAAAATTACAATTACAATTGGAAAAAAATAAAAACTAATGGTCGGCTCTATCCAAGTGACCACCGGTGCCACATTGTGGGGGATGCGCACTGCGACGAGGTCTACGACGAGGTTGTTGTGGTGTGTCCGATCTTTGTGTGTTGAGTTGTGGATGAGGGTATGGTTGGGACGTCCCCGACGTATCAAATAGATTTTGCAGCATTTGACCTCAATAGCCGGGAGGTCCACTAATGCCCATGTTTTCAAAGGATTGTCGAGCAGGTTGGGTGGAGTATGGATGGTATGGTTGTCCGAATGTTTACATAGAATTGGGTTGGTCTAGGTGTGTTGGTTGTTGTGGGGTGTAGTAGTCAAATAGTGGATAGTTGGAGGGGTATTTAGAGGGGGTAGGGTCAAATGAGTTGTCTGGGCTATAGGTGGAGGGGGTAGGGTCAAATGACGTATCAGGGCTATATTGGTATGGTGGTTGAGGCTGGGACTGGGTGGGATGCATATACGGGTCATGGTAAGCCTGTTGTTGTTGATGGGGGTCATGGTAAGGCTGGTATGGGTTATTGTAAGGCTGATTTTGGGCATTGGACTGTTGTTGTGTGTTGGACGAAGAAGCGCGTTGCCTTGGGTCAACCAAATAGGTTGGCTCAGATAGAAATGACTGAGATGTCGTAACAGACCTAAACCAAGTCATATATTGAAGACTTGGCCTAGCCCCGTGCACAATATGGTCGGTCAAGACGTGTTGCCTTCTTCTCTTCCAGTGTTTACACAACTCCTTCGCAAACTCCTTCCAATGACTGACGCTCCACTGTGAGTCCACCCGCTTTTGATGCCACTGCCCCAATTCTACCGGAGCATCTGGAATATCCTGATGCATCCCAAACTTTAGCTTGACCCGGTCACTTTGGTGCATCTCCACCGTAGTGAACCTAATTATGGGTGTTCTTGATGTCCACACAACAACATCATTGGGGTCGGGCTGGTGGTCTAGACCCTCGTACGACATCCAGACAAACTACAATAAAGGTGAATACATTTAGTCAGACAGGGATAGACAAGTTTATTCATATAAGTTAGATAAATTGGAGGTAAATAACTTACATCATCTGGCCCAAGGTGGTCGATGAGGTTGCGGTATTGAATTATAGAGTGTCTGGGACATCTCTGATAATTCATCCCTGGAACAGACCACCTAAAAAAAAGAAACACATATAAGTTAACATCTAAAACAATAAGGAACAAATTTGGTTGCCAAATAATCTTGAAAAGAAACTTACTTGTTGGCGTACGAGAATGTAAAAGGATTCCGGTTTATTGGAGCAAGCGTCGGCATCCTAGACCAACCCCACGCTTGTAGGAAATAGGCACAACCATAAAAAGTACAGGAACTTTTTTTTGAAGTTTTGCAAAGTGCACTATACAGATGGGCGAGGACAACTGATCCCCAACTATATTCGTGCACTTTGTTTATATTTTGTAATAAGGGCAAATACATAATATTTATGATATTTCCAGTTCCCTCTGGAAATAAAAAGTGCCCGAATAAAATCATAATATAGCACCGAGTTTTGACTATTATGTCATATTCGGTGCTATCATCACTTAGTACAATAGTACTGTATTGTTCTCTAAGGTATTTTAAATTTATTCCCTGACCCCTCGGGCGACCCTCGCTTTCTGCCTAAGGCGCGTCCACACAAAGAGGGGCGCCCAATAAATCTTCGCAAAGTCGGTCAGGGACACCAACTTTGCCGTTGACGGCCTTACCATCGATGTGTAGGCCGAGCAACATGTATACATCTTGGAGAGTCACAGTACACTCACCAAAAGGTAGGTGAGATGTATGTGTCTCCGGTCTCCAGCGTTCTAACAACGCTAGAATAAACTGCATATCGAGTGAGTATGATTTGATTTTGATCACATCACGAAACCCACAACGACTAAGGTACCCCGCTATGAGGGGGTCGTGTGGTATGTAATCATGCACACGACATCGAAACCTTGATGCATCCTGCAAAATAATTAATGTTTCGTTAGACAAGAACTAAAATAATTAACGTTTCGTTAGACAAGATTGTAAACATAGACAAAAACAAAAGACTTACAAACTCGGCGATGTTTTCAGTCGTCCCTCTGTGAGAGTCGCCCATGGTGAGTAAAGACATTGTCGTTTGGGATGTTGAGATGTAGAGATGTTGAGAGTTTTTGAGGTTGAGAGTTTGAGAGTTTGAGAGTTAGAGATGTTGATATGTAGAGATGTTGACGATATGGTGAATAACCAGAACGACGGGGTTCCACCCGACAATGTTTATTATCCACCTCAACACATGACAACTCTCGACTTGGGTGACGATGAACGCTCGACGGATGTTTTCTACAATCCCAACTACACAACAGAAGGGCAACTAAAGGAGGGTGACGAGTTTCGTACCAAAGAAGATTGTGTTCGGGCAATCAAACGGTTTCACATGGGGTTATCAGCCGATTATAGAGTTGATCGGACAAATCTGACGCGGTATACGATCTATTATCGTAACGAGGAGTCCCCCTTCCGATTAACAGCGTCTTTCAGAAAGAGAAGCGATTCCTAGAAGATAGGGTCAATGGGTCCGTCCCACAGTTGTATAATCTCTAACCCGATGCAAGACCATCGCAAACTCAGCTCTCGATTGATTTGCGATGAGATTCTGTCAGTCGTTAACGACAACCCATCTTTGAAGGTGAGTACCATAATTGCACATATGGTTCAAAGGTACAATTACACTCCTTCGTACCGAAAAGCCTGGATTGCAAGAACTAAAGCGGTTGAAAGGGTGTTTGGGAGTTGGGAGGAGCCATACAAGGAACTTCTAAAATTTCTGGTGGCTCTTAAACACTACTCTCCGAGAACTGTTGCGATATTGGAGACAATGCCTGCGTGTACAGCAGACGGGACTTGCGTTGGTGGAAATGGAATTTTTCACAGACTTTTTTGGGCGTTCGAACCATGCATCAAAGGGTTTGCATATTGTAAGCCTATAATTGAAATTGACGGAACATGGTTATACAGGAAATATAAGGGCACACTTCTCATG